GCTTTACTAAGTTAGCTTAAGTTGTCTTCCATCAGTAAGAATCTCCTTCCTTTAACTGTGCTGATACCTTAAGTGTTGGGTTATTCTTCAGTTGCCTGCTGTATTGTGTGGCAAAAACTGTAGGTACATTTTCACCTGCTGGGTCACAGACACTTGGTGTCTCTGCTGTTGATTTCTGGTTCTTTAATGGCCACAGGACAGGATTATTGTATTTATCAGAGTGGCTGCTGGGAAATGACAGGTTTACAGAGACTCTGCTGCATGTGTGAGAGGAGCATACCACAAGAAGGCAATGGGACACAGCGTAGGCTGTTATATGGTACTGAGGTGGGGGTTGCTTTCCTGTCCTCACGAGTACCCCGTAGTCCTATTGCCACGGGAGGTAATGCTTGTGAAACTGGTGTCTTTACATCAAACAGGTAAGATGTCCTTAATCTCGGGCCTCTTCTTTGTCACACAGAATAGATGCTGGTTAGACAATTTAATCCAGCCTGGACTGAGGTGGGTCAACAGGTGCAAAACTTAGCAGAGGTTGCAGTTAGTACTCTTTTATTTTAAAAAAGACATAAAATGTCCACTAAAGTCTTATTGTTCCCCAAACCTGGTTAGATAACACAAACATTCAGTACACAGGTAGTACACACAGTACAGAATTAAGGAATATTTTAGCACTGTCTAGGGATGGCTACCCTCAGGCAATGTACCACTGGAAAATCTTGTTGTCTGGCTAGTATTAAAAATTATATAAATAAACATTTTCTCCAATCCTTTCTGACTATTGTATGCTGATGTCAGAGTCCTGCCTCTAAGGCACATAAGAAAGGTTTGCATTTATACCCTCCAGCATTACTTGAATCTTCTACTGCTTGAATCATTGACCTGGTCTGCTATTGTAGCCTAAGAAGAATGAAATTTTGCATAAGCAGAAACAATTATAGGAGATCTTTGAGCAATGTTGATTTTAGTAGAGATGGTCAAAAGTATGTGATAAATATGGTTTGTATGTGATAAATATACCACACAGAGATGTAAAAATAAAGGAGCTGTCCCACATGCAAAGAATTCTGCCTTTGTTTTATTTGGGATTTGGGGATCTGGTTGTGTCTAATGGTTAAGCATCTACCTGTTGGACCAGTCTTTCGCAAGTAAATGAGTCAGCAATAAAAGGAAGAAGGTGTCTTGAAGATGTCCAAAAAAAGCTCCAATTTACCAAAAGTAAGCACTTAGTTATTGACTCTACAAAATATAAAAAATCATTTCATTTGGAGTAGATTTCCAATCAGAGTCCTTCAAAAGCATCTAACATTTTTCCTACATCTAGGAAGGGAATTTATTTATTTATTATTAAAAATATATTTATTTACATTTTAATTATTTCTATATAGAGAGTTACTAGGGGAATCACTAGGCACCCAGGATGAAGATACAAGTGCTAGAGCTGTATTAATAGGTCTCCATGCACTATCCTTCCTTTGGGAAAGCAGAATTAGGGAAAGGTTTTTAAGAGAAAATGAAAACAGCAAGCTGGCACCATTGCAGAACAAAATAATTTTCCATTATTCTATTTCCAAGCTTTCTTGTCACTAGAGATATTGGTAGAAAAGCAAAAACTGAAGGTGAAATATCTTTCCAACATTAAAAACTAAAATTAAAGTCCTTAATAAAGATTTTACATCTTATTATTTACATATTCTTTATCTGAGGGCTTGCAAAATTTCTCATTTCTTCTCACATCTCCATGTAAGAAACAAAGCACCCTAAATTTTTCCTAATAATTTCCCAAAGTTATTGATTAATGTTTGTGGGGGTTTTTGTGTTAATGTTATAATACAAAAAAGAAAGACAACTATTTTGTCAGGATAGTGTACATCGGCAAAGGAAGAGCTGACAAAAAACCACTGAGCCTTGAGGCAGTTTCTGTAGTGGAAAACAAATGCTTGGTATGAACACAACTATACTGATGTAATGCCAAAAATGAAGTAACTCCTCTCTTTAAAGCCCCAGACAGTCATTGGAAAGCTTCCCCAGATTTCAGATTACACTTTAATTTAATTTATTTCTCACTGATTCTGTGGCAGGTAAATCGCTGAACTGACATTGAGGAAATGGAGTTTCCTACTCATTACACAAATTATCTGCAAGACCCTGGATCAGTCACCATGCAGTGACCAAGAGCAGCCCTGCCAAGAAGGAGTTGAGGCTCCTGGTGGGTGAGAGGCTGGGCATGAGCTGGCAATGTGTTCTCACAGCCCAGAAAACCAGCTGTGTTCTTGGCTGCATCAGAGGCAGGCTATCACAACCTGTATCAATCAAAAGCTTTAAGTTCCAAATTCTGTATGTATTTTTATTCCAGTTTGCTGCATTTCAAAAACAAAGTTAACCAACGCCTGGTTACTAAGAGGGAGCCCATACCAATTTTTGCTGCAGCTAGGTAGAGAATTTTACAAAACCAGTCAGCCACCAGCACATTTTTTACATGCTTCACAAGGTGAAGCATGGAATGGCTAACTTAAAATACCATTCATTTAATATCATCCAGTGTGATATAGGTTAAATGTAGATAAAACATAATAGATACTTATAAAAGGCAGGATGTTCAGAGCAATCCCTTAAAACGGGAGCCAGCTCCCATCAGTCTGTGCCATATTGTTGACTAGCTGGTTTATTTTCTGTAGGTTACCCCTGGGCAGGAGCATATGGGGTAAGGCTGACCCTATGTAGGGCTGACCCACAAAAGCCAAGTACGCAGTCACTGAGTAACCACCTCAGAGTGTATCTTCAGCAAGGACTGTGGATACCATCTTCTTCCCTATATGCACAAAAGGAATGAACCCCGTCCTGTACCCACTTCCTTCGTGCCTTCATCTCTTGCCTCAAGGCAAGGGGCCTTGACCTCGCTTCAGTGAACTGAGTTTGGAGAACAGCTCCAACATGGTTTGCAGTTAGCACTGTCTTTTAGAATGCAAAATCACAAAACAGCAACTTCTGAAATCTGAAGAGAAGCAAAGTAGTGAGCCTTTGGGTAGCAGAGAGAAACTCATCTATCTTCAAGCCTTTTTTGGTTTGAGAAGCTGTGCTACAAAGAGAAAGTTCCCAAAGCACTCAGACCTTTAGAAATGGAGGAAGGAGTGGCTGGAGAATAACAAACCAGCAACTCCAGCTGACATGCCTGGGAAAGCTCTATCAAAAAAATGTGCAGTGTTAGTAAGTATTTCTCAAGTGTAAATTGTTTCAATATTATCTAATTTGCTTTTCTGGCAGAGCAAAGGACCTAGAAGGTAGGCAATTTTGCAAGTAACTGAGTATTTTTTGTTAAATAAAGTATCTGCGCTTACTTCCTATATTTTTTTAATTAAAGGTTGGGACACTCGACTTGCCTCCAAACACCCTGCTATCACATTCCTCTCCAGATGGGGTAAACAGGAAATCTTGCATAATTGTCTATGTTCCTTATACCAGTTTGGCACTGACATGGTGCCAAAGGGCATTTAGCACCTCTGCTCTTAAGAACCCCCAGCAGTTTAATTGCTATTGGAATTATGGCTTAGGAAGAAAAACAACAGCCATTTGTTGAGCAAACATTACAATAAGCTGAATGTTTTATTTCTCAATCAAGTTGTCTCTGTGCAGCTCCATGGACTCACTTCCAGGCCAAAAGGAATGATTGGAGTGATAGGCCAAGTCCTTTCATCCTGTTATACAAATTATCAGTCAAGTAGCACAGGAATGAAGTGCTTTCTAATGGCCTAAAGTAACCATCTAAAATAAGTGTCTGAAAAACACCTAACATGGGTCTTAGAGTAGGCTTCAGGTTACTGCATTGAAATAATGCAATTTGGAAAATCCTGTTTGTGGCCAAGTATACAACAGTACTTAGTGAATAAAGTTCCTTTCCTGGTCCTCTGGAACTCAGATTCCTTTCCATACTGTGGCCCAGTTCAACTGAGGGATCAAATATACCACCTAACCTTCTCCTGTCACCTTTGAAATGGGTAGAACATTTTCCTAAGACATGTGGCTTGACCTACCCCCTGCCTGATCAGATCTCAGCACCAGATCTCCTACTTGTCAGCAGACCAGAAGGCTACCACGTAACAGAATTGGGAAATATGGGTATTTTTAAAGGAAAAAATTCAGCACAGTTTGGTTCTTTCAAAACTGTTGTGAGGGACCCCTTGGCTAGGAGAGGGATGCTGGGTTTGGAGAAAACAAATTTTAGAGGCATTTTGCGTACAGCCCCATGGAAAATGTCTTTAATATTTCTGCATGGCTAACCACAGTTCCCCTGCTCCTCTATGCAGGGGTTATTGGGGGAGATTGTCCTCATGAGGCACTGAGTACTTTCTCCCTACTCAAAATGTCTGAGGGCTTTGAATAGCAGGGGTGAAAAGGTCAGATACCTCAGAGGAAGACACTGAAACATCTGGTCTGGTAAATAATGTGTATTATTGCCTTCTTAGCAACATTACGAGGTGTCAGCATTAAAGATCTGAAAATGTATTATGTGCCGTGTCTCTTTCCAGGCAGCAAAAAGATAGCAAACTCAATGCAAAGGCTAGATTTCACTGCATATCTACAGGTCTCGAGCATTCTGAAATCCTGAAAGGATCACACTGGTTATGTGGGTCCAGAGTAGAGCTGGGCTGTTATTTAAACAGCCTTTTAAAATACACCTTGATGTTGTGCTTTCTAGAGGAGAAAGGAGAGTAGGATCTAAAGGGATAAAGGGGGAAAATACTTGAAATGGGATTGGATGAGCACCAGAAGAAAGGGGAACAAGATGGTGAGGCCGTGGGTACATCAAGGCATGTAAAGCAAAGGGAAGTTTGTGTGTGTGTATGTTTAAATATCACCACTGAAAGGACAACTCCACCAAGCATCCATATTTGGTATTCCAGGCTGTCCTGGTGGCTCACAGCCTGTGCGTGCACTGACCGTGTGTGGTCAGCCAGTGCTTTCAAGGTAACATCTGAATGCATAGAAAAAAACATCTGTAAGTATTTCTTTAAATGTAGTTGTATAGTTTATTTTCAGCAGCCTAAGGACAGCCTGGAAAAAGGCTAATGAGGATGTAAAAATGGAACCTGGATACTACAAATATATCTGATCATTAAAGAAAAAAAAAAAAAAAACAGAAAGGAAAAAAAAACCCACAACAAACCAAAACCAAAAAAATAAAAAAACCTCAGGGGAATCCTGCTGCAGAGGAACAGCCCAGTTCAAGACACCACTCTTAAAATGTTTATTAAAATCTGCCGTATCATTGCTGGTGCAGCACTGTAACATGAGGAGTCTGATTCTGCTTTGGGAGCTGCACAGACTTGAAAATCCAGAGCTGCTCATCAGAAAGTTCATCGAAACTACACTTGAGCACTTAGAGGTTTATGGAAAGTGACAAAAGCTACCAAGGTGTAACACAGATTAACGTTACCTCTCTAACCTACTGCATCAAGCCACAGGCCCACAGAAGAAGAAATATCTTCAACTCCAAACAAGCACACTCACAAATGTGGGCTTAGAAATCTTCACACAAATAAATTCTGTAGTTCATTTGACTTCTTCCAGTCAGATTTACTACAAGATGGAAGCATTTCTTCGTTGCTCTTTAGTGTCAAGGTTCAAGCAGCATAGAAATTCTGTGGGATCCCTTTCACACCCAGGCCTGTTATCTGTTTTAAAAAGTTAAAAATTAAAAGATAAAAGAAAGGAAACAGATGAACCTCCAACTGAGTATAATGAAAACATTCAAACATTGTAGAAAAATATCATAGCAACAGACTATTATGTGGAGGGTCCCCTGCTTCAAGAGAAGCCCAGAAGGAGTCATTACCTGGAGTTCTTCCAAACTCTTTAAGATCACTCAGATTATCAAGCACTACTCAATAATTTTGCTAATTTAAACATTATCTCTGGCCCTTGCATCTCCAAAACAATGCATAGTAATTTTTAACGTGCTTTGCCCATGCAAGATGAATGTTAGTTTGGAAAACACCAAGTCCCTTGTGGAACTGGAGAACTCAAGAACAAAACCAAATAGATTCTTATTTAATCCTCCTGTGGGCTTCTAAACTGTGCTGCTTGACTACATCAGTTCCCAGCCATGAGATATCTGCTCTAAGCACTGCTTTCAACAGGAGTGGCCCAGATTCCAGAATAGATCTGCGTCCCTCCTGTAACATGTTTTCATCCTGTGGCCAAATCGATAAAAGAGTTTGGTTTGGGTTGATGGCAATTGCTGAGTAAGAACTGACTTTTATTCTCCTGATGTGCTTTTTGCTAATGGAGTGAAAAATAGTAAGAGAGAAACAAGTTTCAGATTCAAGGGTCCCAGACAAAAATGTTTTTTAAAAAGTAACAATCATTTTTTGTTGAAATCTGAAATGCAGGGAATTCTCAGAACTTTAGGCCTGTGAGCTAAAGCTTAGAATTAAACACAGAATTTTATTTGAGACTTTAGAAAAGGTTTCCAAACTTAAGGGCTAGAAGTAAGAATGTGGATTTATAGTTTAATGCAGAGACATGTTAAGCTAAGTAGAGGAAAGTTTAGAGTTTTAGAGTACAGTATTATAGATTTATATATCATAACATGATTAGCTAAGAAAGCTTACACTGTAACATGAATCCATAAGATGAAATATTTGAAGATTAATTTAAAAGCATAAATATCCTTGTTAACAATATTTTATTAGTTAATAAATCCTTAAAAGATCTTGTAACTAAAAGTCTCGTGACCGTCTAAACCATGTGGTGAAGATGTGAGTCAAACTCACCCTTCCTACCTATATAGAAACTTTAAAAAATAAATCACATCATCTAAAAAAACTCAGAAATCCCATTTGTAAATCATTCAAAATTCCTTCAAATCCTCACAATTTTTAACAGACAAAATCCTAAAAGTTTTCGGACTGAGATGCAAACTTTTGCCCTGGTATATTGAAACATTTAATTTTTAAAGCATTTCTATTTCCTGGCACAATTAAAAACTGAGAGGTAAGAGAATTAAATTTCCAAAAGTTATTAAATTATAGTAAGAGATAAAAGCAATTCCTTGCAGTGTATTACAGAATACATTATCCATATGGCAGATCCATACCCATTCACTACCCTCAGATCCTACCAGCCAACTTTAGCCAACCCAGCTATCAACACTAAAACTTTTAATTTCTCCAAGTCTTCCTTCTAAGTGCATGAGCAGCTCTGCAAAAGCAGCTGGGCCTGGCTGGGGACAAGCTATGTACCTGGAGCAGCTCATGAAGTGAGTGGGATGAGCCAGGGCAGCTGGGACCACCTCACTCTCAGAATGAGAGGCTTGGCAGGTCTGATATACGGAAAGAAAAAAATAAAATCTGCTCACCTTGAAAATCTCTCCTGCATGAGGTTCCTTGGCTAAGGTGGCCTCGTCCAGTCCATCATATGCAGAAGTCACATACATTTCTGAGTAGTCTTTTCCACCAAAGCAGCAAGAGGTGATCCTTGGAGTAGGCAGCCTCACAGTTTGGATTCTTTTTCCTGGGAAAAATGTGCAATTGTTTTCTAATGTTCATTTTTTAGGAACCATGTAATTATGAATGTACTGTCAGTACACATGGTACAGATGTGACATTTACTCAGAAGGCACCTTCCCTTCAGACAGAGACCATATCCTAAAGGACAGTTTGTGGGGAAATCAAATTATTTCATCTGCCTCATTTCTAACTATTTTCCAGGCTCTCCCCTGCATCTGCAAGGCTTCATTTCCTTTTCTCAAAACAAAGCAGTACTGTGTGTGAGGTCAGGAAGGGCAGGGACATCTGGGATGGGATGGATGTTGTTCCTTAAAGCATTTTCCAGTGAAAAATTTCAACACTGAGAAATTTTATATGCAGTATTTTGTGGGGTTTTTTGATAGTGGTATTATTAAGAAGAGTGTGCGGTTCATCAGCCAATGATGGGAGCAGGGGTACCTGACACTGGGAGGCAGCACAGGGAGCTGCATTCTTTACATGATCAGAGTCTGAGCCAGCGATGCTCTTGGCAACCCATGGGGCAGAAATGGGCAATACTTGTCACTTTATCTCCTCTTCAAACCATTCCTCCTGCTGCCATTCCCCTCACATTTATATGCACAAACTGGTGGAGGCCTTACCTGTCTCTGGGTCTATGCGAATGACTCTGCCGCCATCAATACAGGCCACCCAGAGCTTCCCTTCTGCGTCTATGCACATCCCATCAGGCATTTGCTCCTCCTTTTCCAGATGGTACAAAAGCTTGGGGCAGGCTGCAGGAAGAGTTACAAAGCTGTGTGGGCTGCTACCCATTCTGTATCAGATCCCACTCTAACCTCTTCCATCTTGCAAACACATACCTTCTTTTTCTGTGAGAAAGGCATGCTGCAAAATGTGCATCACATCTGCATTCTGCAGATGTGTTAAAAGCCTAATTCAGCTTGGCAGAGACAAGTCCCCAGCACAGCCATTTCAGTCTGGGATTGTGCCGAATAAGTGTTCCTGTTTTTTCACTGAGAAGAGAACAAAATGCCCCTATCTCCCATGTTAACCCACCTGCTGCCTGCCACATCACAACTGCTGCAAGTGCAGTAACTTTTCCTGGACTTTTATTGGTCATGGCAGCCTGGATATGTCACATAAATAATTACCTGGGTTTAAACATTGCTGATAAGCAATCTCTCCTAGCTAATGGCCAACCAAACAACCAGTTTTGATTAAACCTGGACACCAACTCATGGTCAGGGATGTAATGCAGATATGTTGGTAAGTACGTCTGGTCCATGGAGCAGGGCCCATGGGTTACAGATCACCTGCTCTGACCCACCCAGCACCTTCTGGTCATTACACTACCCAAAAATAGACAGCTATGAACATAAAGCCAAGCCTAGGAAGCTCAAACATGTTACTTTTTATATTTGCAGGGGGAAATGTTGCATTATATCGTCTTTTGAAATCTTATATCCTATAATGTGTAGAAAGAGATGTTCTCAACAAAATGAAATCTGAGTGAATGCAACTATTTTGTGTGATTTTCATCTGTGATTACCCAAAGTCTGCACTCTTTAAAGTACAAAGGCAGTTTAGCCATTTAAATTCCTGTGGAGCATATCAGGTTGATAGAGCATGAAAATATTTCAAAGAGTTTTGAAATTAGGTTAGATCCATTTTACTTACACTAAAATTTACTTCCTTGCAGATACAATAAAAAATGTTTATCCATAAAATGGATAGGAAGTTGGGAAACCTCTGTCACAATGACAGCTTGATCGTCCAAATACCTTTCTGCGAAATGCATACACATGCATGTTTTCCACTTGTTATTTATGGAGCTAGTACAATCAAAGTAATTCCAGTAGATGGCACTCAAGAATAAATACCATCCTAAAAGCTCTTTCTCATTCTGCAGTGTAAATGGCTTTTTCCCTGCAACTCTTTGAACAGGTCTAAGTATGAGCCGTCTCTCCAGATGAAGGTAAGCTGAAAGACTGTCAAAACTTTGTTCACCAAATACACCTGGTAACTGAATTTGAGAAATATCACAGTCAGCCAACTGACAAATTGTAACCAAAAGATACGAGATCTGTCAAATAAATCACTGCATCTCACAAGCCCAAGTCTTGCTGCAGACAGAGCAGTAGCGCTACTTGTCACCAAATTTAAAAGCATGTGTACCAATCTTTCCAGTGTGCACATCATAGCTGAAGGCATGGACAGCGTATGACAGGCTGTCAATGTGAAAGAAGGTCCTGTGGTCCAGGGACCAATCCAGGCCATTGGAGATGTCCAACTGGTCTAGTTGTTTTATTACTGAATGGTCAGGGAAGAGGGTATAGAGAGCTCCTTGCCGCCTCGCTCGGACCCCTGGTGCTGTCTCTTCAGCCATCGTACCTGAAATGGAAGTGGGAGCACTGGTTAGAAAGTAGAAGCTTGCCCTTCGTGTTTGATCAAAAACCTCCTCTAGATGTTACCAAGAAGTCCTAGGGAGCATCACAGGATTGTGATTTTTTTTTTTTTTTTCTTCCTAAAAAGAAAATATTTTTAGGAAGAAATTCTTTGCTGTGAGGGTGGTGAGGCACGGGAACTGGATGCCAAGAGAAGTTATGGATGCCACATGCTTGGAAGTGTTCAAGGCCAGGTTGGGGGGAGCTTTGAGCAACCTGGTCTAGTGGAAGCTGTCTCTGCTCATGGAGGGAGGTTGGAACTAGATGGTCTTAAGGGTCCCTTCCAACCCAAACCATTCTATGATTCTACAATTCTGGAATCCTGTGGTGAAAGGGACTAATGGGTTCTGTCAGATTGATGAGAAAGGGTAAAAGGACCACATCAGGGGCAGCTGCCTCCCACAGAGGAGATCCTGGCCAATGAAAGGATGTTTCTGCATTGCCATGAGGTTTAAGTCATGGACATCAAAGACCCAAAGGACCACGAGGATGCACCAGGGGGTTGAGGTTTTGCTCACAGCAGAAGTTGAGATGCAGGCAAGCATCAATCATATGCTGTTTTTGTTGTTGCTCTTTGTAGGCTATTTCATGATTTAAATGGGCTGTGACCAGTAAAATGCAGGTGTGCACCATGTGCCTGAGAGCCTTGTTCAAACAATTCTTGAACTCTGTCAGGCTTCGTGCCATGACCACTTCCCTGGGGAGCTTGTTCCAGTGCCTGACCACCCTGCGGGTGAAGACCTTTTACATAATGTACAGCCTAAACCTACTTCTTGCCTTTTCTTGTTTTTCACAGGCTAACCAAGAGAGGCTGCATATAAAGGGTACAAGCTGCAGCTCATGTTCTTCTCTAGAAGTTGCATCTTTCTCTACATCTCCAGAAAAAGTCCCATCTCCATGAGCCCTTCACTGGCTTTTCCATTAAGGCAGTTGTTTGAATAATGCCATCCACTAAGCAGGAGAGCATTTCTGTCAGATGGCCCTTGTCAACAGCATCTGTCCTCATCTAGGTCAGAAGATGTAGAGTCCCCTGTCCTCCTCCACTGGGCAGTAACCAAGCAGAGCATTCACAAGACAGGGAATAAATAAAAATGCCTTATATAAAAAACACTATCGTTTCCCTTTGCTCCAGGGGAAACTTCTGCCAGGAACTTACCAGCAAAAAACCTCCCCTTCGGATCCACTTTCCCATCATTGAACCTGTTGTTGGGTTTATCCTGCTCAAGCTCGAGGATGGTGGTGACTGCCTGGGTGTCCCAGTCCAGGAAGGCAAACCTGGTCCCCAGGGCGATGACATAGCCCCCACACTGCCGCAGAGCCACTGAGCCAACACGGGCATCTGTGGGTGGGAGAGCAGAAGATGAAGGGTAGCTTTGGGGCCATCACTCAGCCCTCACCAAGAGACATCCCTGGCTGGCAATGGCTGAGCTGATGCTAAGATCCTTCTCCCCTGGGATTGTTAGCACACCTCACTGGCTCTATGTTCCGTGGATTTTTCCACCTTCTAGGATGGCACAGCCATTAGGACTGTACCTTTTCCTCTGCAGGTCCCAAATGAAACATGCATTCCCACTTAGGCTTATCAGGGGAAACACGTGCATGGTCTTCTCTGCTCAGCTGGCTTAGGCCACACTGCTCAGCAACACATTGTGGGAAGACAGGGTGTGTGGTCCCATGGAAAGTTAGAAAAACCACCGACCTGCAGGACTCCTACCAGGAGGGGTGGATGGGGCATACAGAGAAGAGTCCCAGGTGAAGCAGTGAGGATGGACTCTTACCCACAGACACGCTCTGCACCTCATTGGTGATGGGGCTCCAGCGGCAAACTTTCTGCGAGTTGATGTCTACATAGACAAGTGCATTCTCCCTTTCTTCCCAGACTGGGCACTCTCCCATCCGGTTCTTCTCCTTCACAACAGACTCGATTTTAATGGAGGAAGACATGGTCTGAGGGGAAATTAATAATTGATGTAATTAAAAGCTCTCATGTGATTTTTTTCATGCCTACAATATTGAAAAAGAGAGATTGTAAATAGCAAAGCACTCCAAATCCCACATCTCAAAGTAATTTAGGAGGTTCTTATGACATTTCCATGGCCTCATGTCTGGAACTGAGCTTGAGGTGCCAAAGCTCCTCCTTACCAAAACTTTCCTAAACCACAGCTGCTGATGAGGCACCTGTCTCCAGGCACAGGAGTGCTGGGGCTATGGTCCTAAGCTGGAACCAAGCTGCTGTCTGGGGATCCATGATCCTAAGGGTCCCCCAGACCACAAAGAGGGATCAGAAGGCAGCAGCACCAATGAGTGGTGGATCAATCTTTATGTGGAAAATCAAGGCTCTGCCCTATTTAACACAGGTGCATTGACTTCCTCCACAGGAAGACTTTTACACACCCACAGCACCGACTCCACTTTGCCACAGAGGCCACTGCAGAACAAATACTTGTTCCCACACCAAGTCAGTGAGAATATGCAAATACTGAGGAAGGCTCCTGCCTTTGAAATTCTACTGCTGTGTTTTCCCTCTAAGCATTTCCTCTTCATCTGTCCCTTCAGTGCCTCAGCTTGATCTCCAGCCCCTGCTGCACACTCCAAATTTTTCCAGGCTGTGGGATGCAATTACCCCAGTTGCTGCTCGGTGGGCCAAAGCCACCAGTGAAGCTCCCATTCCATATGCCTGCTTCTGCCAGAAGTTGTTCATGCCCTGGCTACCTCGTCCCCATTGCAGCAGGGGGCTCTCAGGGACATCAGTCAATCAGCCACAGCTGGTTGACACCCACACATGGTGCACATCCCATCAGTTTTATGTCCAGTACCTACTGATGTCCTCTAAAACACGGATCCTGTGCCTGCCCTGACCTTGCTGTGGGGTGGGAAGTGAGCAATAACCTGCACCATTTCAGCTCTTACAAAAGAAAGAGGCCCACTCACTGTCTCAGTCACCCCTAATGGAGCCGCCTCCAGTGCTGCACCCACTGGCCTCAGCACATTTTTTCCACAGATTGAGAGATAATTCTTGGGAGGCAGCCAATCCCTGACATAACATCAATCCTAGGGATTACTGGCTCCAAGTGGGTATTGTTTCCTAGTAGGTGAGCTGGCGATAAGGTTTACAGATAATTAATTAGCAGTAATGCACTTCAAAATATGTGGGAAGAGCCAGTCAATCAGAGTGAGTGGAAATGCCAAGGCTGAGGGACATGGGATCTTTCCTGCAATGAGTCACACCACTAAGGTAAGTTTCAAACAACCCATCAAATATAGTCTTCTCCCTTCCAAAATACACTGGCCAGAAGAGGCTGGGCAGCAAGCTGTTCCATGTAGGCAAATCGCATCTAAAGCGTAAATGAAGATACACAGCAAAATGCCAAGTTTAACCTCCAGAAACCTGTTAAACAATGCTTGAGCTGGAGGAGTGAGTTTCTTGTGGGTTAAAGCTTTGTGTCATGTGGCTGCCATATGTGGGACTCAAGGCTTGGAGACACAATGCTGACTTTATTGTATCATGGTCTGGAAAGCACAGAGCTGTTCTCACCCCTGTGGGAAAACAAGAGTTCAGCACCAGCCCGGCAGCAGTGCGGTTCCTGCAGAGGCAGAAAGCCTCCAGAATTGCAGCCAGTGTGTATTTGTCTTGTCAGCTGCTTCATTGACCCAGCTGAGCCTTATTAAACCTTTCTTTTCCCACCAGCTCCTGTTTCATTTACATTCCCCTTGTCCAACTTCTCCAACACCAAAACAGGGGCCTGGCAGATAAGCCGTGGTGAAATACTTATTCACAGACCCATCCCACATGCCACATGAGTACACAATCACACCACTGCCAGCTGTTTCACAAGGCATAGGCAGGGGAGAAACCATCCTGCTTGCACCAGCTGCCTGCTTCCCCCTCTCCTGTTCCTCAGCGATGCTGCAGAGACCTGCCCTGTCCCATGGGCCCTCAGTGCACACCCACCTTCCCCGACGGCACCTTCAGCCATGGCATCCTTCCCCTCTGCCAAAGAAATAACTCCTGTGTGTCACTCCAGCTGTGGAGCTTTCCATACTGGGGAACATTGTGGCTCAAATCGTCATCACCCCTCTCTGTTTTTAAGAAGAGGGCAATTAGAAAGGAAGGTCTGTGTTTTGCTAGCTGAGGTTTCACTAATTTTTGCAAGCAGCTGAAAATGGAGGCTTTTAACAGGAAGGACCATCCAACCCTAAGTGGCAGCATTGCCCTCCAAAAGAGTCCCCACAAGCTGTGAGGGTTTCAGCCCTGGTCCTATCCAGTCCTTGTCCCCTTGGCCCGGCTCAGTGCTCTGCTCATTTCCTGCCATGCCCTCCCTGCTGACGCCCCATGGAACAATGCAGCAGTAACATTTCACTAAATACAGCATCTCAGAGGGAAAAATGAGGAAATGACCCCCAAAAACCTGTTTCAAAATATTACAGCATAATCACTCTCCAGGCATCCTGCCACGCGGGCACCTTTATCTGTGGCACTTTGCAGCCTGCTTGGTACTGCACTGACCCATCAGAGATGAGCATGCAAAGAAAGATGAGAAATTTCAAGCAAAAATCACCAAATACTTCTCTATTCTCCCAAAGCAAAATCCCTGCAGAAAAAAATCATCTCAATCACCCTCCTAAATCCTCTTTCCAACATTTTGTTGGCTTTGTAGCCTCCTGGACTCACGCACAAGGGATGGACAGGTGTCCATAAAACATTTTCCAAGTTAAACTGTTAAACTGTTAAACTGTTTAACTGGTAAAAGTTAGCAGAACTTTGAGACCATAAGAAAATTTTCCTGTTAGGGATAAAAAAGGAATGTAAAAACATCCTGTCTGCTCTAGAAACTAAACCCTCTCTCTGGCAGCCATTTGAAAATAGCCTTTCTAGACCTCTGTCCACTTTCCTTTTCAAATCATCTGCACAGAAGTTGGTCATTTCAGTACCCTAAAAAGAGACAGGTAAAATACAAATGAATGACTGGCCTTAAAATTTTTTTGCTGTTTCCTTCCCTCTCTCCCTCCTGTGTAAACACATGTAATTTCATTTTTAATGTCAAAGTGAACCTTCAAATAAGCAGGCAGACAGCTAAAACTTTTAATGTACAGTCAAGCAACTATCTGCATAAACAAAAGAATTTTAAGAACCCTTTTCCCCTCAGTCAAACAGCTGAATCTTTACCAAGCTGGAGGACACCTATGCAAAACTCTGCAGTTCATCACACCAACGCACCTGCTGAGGAAAATATTGCAAGACCTGGCTCGGTGACTCTTTTCCAGCACTGGTCCAATGAAACTGTCTGCTGTTTTCAGCGACGGTTAAAAATGTGCACCAGTTGATGTTATCTGCATGGAGCAGGTAACCCTTTACATTTTGTATTCAGTCAGCAGTCACATGAATGATGAGGCAGGGACCAAAGCCTTTCTGAATGGTCTGGTTTGCAGTGCCAGCAGCAGGACATGTGATAGAGAAAAATCCTTGCTCAGTATTTTTCTCATGTCATGAAAGTGTGAGAGGGAAACTGAGGCGTTGCACCATTCAGTTGCCCCAAGGGCTAGCCCAGTCTTATAAAATTTAGGGTGCTGAAAAGGGAAGGTTAATGAAAGATGTGAGGGAGGATTTTGTAGTACTCTGATAAGGAATAAAATATTGGTGTGATTAAAGCTTATTATCATCTTTAAGACTTGGCTCCTACTCCTAGCTCTGCCACAGCCTTCTTGTGTGTGAAGTCACAGTGCTCACCTTGAGCACGCAAAGCCTGATCCCACTTTGGCAAAAAGCTCCAAGCCACAGCCTGTAGCACTCACGGGGAAGGACTTTTACCAGGGAGTCTCAGCAATTGCCATGGATGCTGCAGCATGGCAATGTCCTGCCTGGCTTTTATTTTCTTCCTTCTTTGGCATTTGCCTTCTTTATTTGTCTGTAGGAGGCACAGGTGGAAGATGCCAAGTGTCTTCTCCCACCCAGCCCTGATCAGCAGAGGTAGGTGATGGCAGGACCAGCAAGGTGGGACAAGGCAGGCTTGCCATGGGGACAGAGACCAAGCTGGGCAGTGAGCCAGAGTGACCACCAGTGTTTTGGTGACAGGGCCACATTCAGCAAGGGCAGAAGGCACTTGGGAGAAATCAGCCCCAGTCCAGCATGCAGGAACAATGCGTTTCTTTATTCATTAAAGACTTTAATGAAATTTGTAATTTGATGTTCAAATGATTCACAGGATGAAGATCTTTCCCTGATAAGCAATTAGACAAGATAGACGTATTATCCTACCACAGTCACCATCAATCCACATTCAGAGATTAAAGAATTACAGCCGTAAAACAGAGACAAATTCAAACATTTCTAGGGAAAAAGCCAGTAATATTTCCAAATCAAACTCCTTCCAAAATCCCTGTATTACAGACAAAGTAATTCTGGGTGCCTTGAGGACCCTGCTGAGATTTCCTTGGGTTCCAATGACTCCATCTCATGTCAGCACAAACCCTCAGTCTCTGCTTGCTCTCAGAAAAATTATGTTACTCTCTGCTTTCTTTTTTATAAACTAGTGATAACTTCAAAGGGAGGTTCAATTAGAACAATATGCATGTTTTCCACAGCATTTTAAGCTGTAAGACATATTCAAAAGGAAAATTCTGGCTTATGATAATTTTCACTGAAAATTAATTTTAATCTAAAAAAAAAAAAAACTGAAAGAGGTAAGTTATCTTTTTTTCTGCAAAATATTTCCTAAAGCATTTTCTCTAAATGGATTTTGGAGGAGAAAATCCTGTTTTCCACACAGCTGTTTACTTCCAGTGACTTCCCCATCACAGGCTGCAGCAATATAAAACCAAGTGAGGCAGAGGGACGAAGAATTCACCTTGCTGCAACTGAAAACACCAAACATGCAGCTTTCTGGGTGAGCAGCTTGGACGCTGGATCATCGGTGGCACAGGAAGGACAGCAGCTGGGAAAATTATACCAGAACATGTCTGTCTAATTTATTTGTGTGTCTGCAAATGCTCTGGGGATGCCCCTGCCACATTTTGCACCATCTCTTATTCCTACCCTGACCGCTTCTAGGCTACCAACACAATTACCACATCTCCCACTCTGCCATTTCAACATCCCACATGTCTGCTTTTCCAAAAGTTGGTCACTTTAGGAAGAGACACATCTCAAAGTTTTTGTGGGTGTTGTGGTGCAGCTTTGCAATAGCAGGTGTATTTGCTAGCCAGCCAGCTTTTCTTTTAATTGTTTCCGCAACATAAAGAGCCTGGCCTTGCCAAGCACTTTGCTTGTTTCTAATGTTGCTGGGTTGCAAAGCAGAAGTTTCTAGTGAAGTTGGCCAAAGGCAGCCATGCACCCCTGTACCCCTGGCTGATACCCAACCACTTGTCTCCTTCTGGTGTGGCTTCATCTCTCCTACTGCTTTGGTATCCTCTGATGCAACTCTTACCCGCTTCTTTTTGTAGTCTGTTGTTTTTATCAACATAGAGTAGTCAGGAGAAATACCAAGGCATTATCACACCACATAATGTGGTACTTAAATTGTGCTTGTCTTCTGCTCCCCACAGGCTTGTGCTCAGATAGTAGCTCAGAAATTGTTCTTGTGGCTTTGCAAATATTTAGTAAATCCATCACTTCCCATTTTTCCCCATAACTCCCCAAAATATACTTGTGTTACTTATTCCCCTTGAGGGTCCATCCCATCATTCATTGCTCTAGAAACTCAGCTTTGCTTGTTACTTGGTTGTCCTGATCTCTTCAAGCTTTTATGCACCTTTGCAGCTGCCTCCCTCTCCTCTAGAAGGAGAGCTCTCCCTCTAACTGGCAGAGTTAACACAGGTATTAACAACCCCAGGCAGATACAGGTGTAGCTACTCACCCCAGCAATATCCCAGTTGACAGTGTTGTCCAAAAGTGAAGCCAAAGCTTATCTTTTTGTGGCTTTGCCCTTTTGTAGGAAGAGCCTGGTCCCTCCCTTTTGCTCGAGATGGGAAGAACTGGAGCTCCCCAGGCAGTCAGTGCCGCCTGCTTTTATTTCAGCAGAGCTATCTTGCCAGCAAAGGATTACAAGAGCTTTCTCCAGCTCGGTTGAGAAAAACTATGCTTCACCTATGACTATAGATTTTGGTCATGAGGGTGAAGAAACCCTTCAGGGCTCAGCACATGCTCCTCCTGATACAGTCTTTCCTGTCACTGGGTTCTTGCTCAACCCTAATTGAAATCAGTGCTGATTTGATCAAAGAGGTGAGCGCCATTAATAAGCGAGGGATTAAACAAAAGTCAGGAAGCCTTCCTAATTGAGAGAACCAGCAACGGCTCAGCTCCAGTTTGCCAGATCCAGCACTCTGTCATGGGACTCAAGTCAAAATGCGCCAGCAGCACCAGTTTGGGCTCCTCGGGGCTGGGGCATGGGAAGCAGCTCCAGCCTCTGCACTGGAGGCTGCGCTGAGACGCGCTCCCAGGGCATTTCAGCAGCATTAAAAATTCAACTCTCCTGGCAGAGGTGGCTCTTCCTGGTCATGTGAAGCCCACAAGATCTGTGCAGCAAAACCAACTAAGTGCCTTTACTGAAGGAGAAGGTGGCATTCATTTGTAAGATGTCTGCAGCAACTTATTTTACCTGCCTCTGCTCTCACACACACAAAGAAACATGTTATTCAGACCTTTTCCCAGTGCACCCATCCACAGCATGGAGGAAGAGGAGCTCCAGCAGCCATGTCCTCCTCCCTGCATCTCATGGGTGTCTCCTGGCCAGCTCTGATAAAATAATTTTTGACTCAATTTTTCATGCCTGTACAAGCTATTGCTCTTACTTTTCTAATGCAGCAACAACATAAAAAAGATCGGCCTTTTTTTTTTGTATTGTGTTGGCAATCACCCTACTGCCAGTGCAGTGGTGTAAGGGTAAGCACAGGTATAAAACCTAAACAGCAATGGCAGAGGGAGCTTATCTGTGTTTATGACCACTTATTTTCTGCTGCATCTCTGGATCTCCACTAGTCATCAACCACAGCTGCCCAACAGCGGGTTCCAGAGCCGCAGGTATCACCAGGTTTGTGACTTTAGCGAGATCAGAGCCCTGAACTTGCCACATTCACCACCTCCCTCAACTCAAGCTTTCTCAATACTGTGCCTTGAGCAGATTTTAGATTGTGCCTTTAGATTGCCTTGTAGCACAAAATAAATGGAGGATGTGGACATTCCAAAGAACAAGGCCCAGCTTCCTTCACTGCCTCATGCTCATCCACACTGAAGTCGGGCTGCTTAAATCTCCCTTTTTTCCCAACTGCCAAGACAGATCCCTGCATAATTTAAAGAGGGAAAACAGTAATGTGCACAAAATAATCTTTGAACCCTTGGATCAAAGCAGCAGGCCTTGGTGGGCAGCTGAGTTATTCACTGTACACTGGAGGGCACAGCCAACACAAGATGATCCATCAGAAACTAACTGCAACAAGCCTGCAGAAATGGGAAACCATTATGTGCTGATTCTTGGAGCTACCTGGAGAGAAAATGCACTGCCAAAGGCTTGCTTGGCAGTCACTTGGTGAGTTACCCTCACACAGCAGGATGGGGATACACAGCTATTCCTCCTGCAGATGGAGGTGCACTAACATGGAAACATGTAACATTCCAAGAGCAAAAATCTGCAGTTTAACATCCAACTGAGATACATCACAGTTGTTGCAGCACATACAGGCCTGAAGATAAAAGCAAAAATGCAATCCAGTGAGTGAGTTTTCATTCACAACAGGCAGTGTGAAGAAATTGCTATAGATCCTCCCTTTCCTTCACACTTGTAAATGCAGTGGCCTTTGGGGCATGTGGGCCTGCCTTGCCTCTCTGTACTTGGGGGAGGTTGGTTCTGAAGGAAGTATGTGCATGTTGTGTTTTATACACAAGCTGACAAGAATGCCCAATTTCCTGTCATCGTGGATGTCCCCAGAACAGGTCAAGATCTTCAAAGGATAGAAAAGGATATGGTTCTAGACTCCAGAATTTTGGGTTTATATTTAACAAAATTAGCAACATGGTAACAGGCACTGGGGAAAGATGGTGATAAGTTCCAGCCAAAGCTAATTTCAGCACAGCCACAGCTGAGGCCTGTTAGAAGGTAGCTGCAGATCCAGTGAGAGGTATTCATGTTTCAGTTGTTGAGAACATCATAGGACAAACAAAGTTACAGTTAAAACAGTGGTAAGACCACCAAAGGGCATTCTACGAGGAACTTCGAAAATATGTAAAAGAGACAGTACAACTGGTTTAATCAGTCAAACAATATAGTGTAAGTTGCAAATGAGACAGAAGAATGGCCAATAAAAATATATTAAAATATTATTTAATCATAAAATAGAATTACAACAATAGCTTATTAGGATGAGAATCTTTTTAGCACAGCAGAAAAAGTACCATCATATATTTCAAGTAAGTTTAAAGGGAGAAAAAAGATCAGTTTTAAAATATTCCATGTATTTCAGTAGTTTTTCAGACTTGTCTTGCTTACGTCAGCCCTCTCTAATCCACTCTGAAGAGTGTATTTAACCTGCAAATGGATATGGTGCAACTCCTTTCACCCCCAGTCCTGTTATCTGTTAAAAAACACAGAGAAAAAAAAATAAGAGTGATAATTCACCATTATTAGACACTTGGTTTCTTTACACAACTAGACACGCTTTAATTTAGAAAAAGACTGTATCCTCCAACTTGACACCCTACTACATTTGCACACATCAGCTCATCACAGACTGGAATTTCAATGCATGCTCTTTCTCTAAAGCTCAGTAATCACAGGCCAGAGTCGGTTCCCCAAAAGCCTCTTCTCTTAGATACCACTAAGCCTTAATTCTGCAGTTCACAATGTAACCTTTGGCACGCAAACACAAAGAACAGGGCTTTAAAACAAATCCCAGTGGAACAATTTTTTAAAGAGATTAACTTTGTGATAATTAACTAGAAAGTAAATAAAAGCAGATGCTTTTATCTACCACTGATTTAGACATGTAAGTATTTACCCATCTTTTCCATAAATAGAAAACGTAAACAGTGTTGGGAAAGGGAGAAGGACAAAGATATGATTGCATAGAAAATTTCCACTATCAGCATTGGTACGAAGTTTAAACCCCAAAGTATCTTCAAATCTCTAAACGCGTTTAACTTTCTGCAACAGGAACAAAAAATACAAACAACAGTTTAACATATATGACCAGTGTTCTAACAACTGTCTTTTTCCAGCTTCCCACCATTGCCAACTGGAGTTTTGCTACCTGAAAAAATCAGGAGTGAAACAATGGCCTTCTAAAATGAAAGGAGAAAGTATTATTCACCTTGAAAATCCCACCAGCCTGTGGCTGCCGTGAAAGCCACTCTTTATCCATTCCATCACTGGCAGAAGTCACAAACATTTCTGAATAATCCTTTCCTCCAAAACAGCAGGAAGTTGTTTTGTCTACGGGAAGTTTCACAGTCTGGAGTCTTTTTCCTGGAGGAAAACATGCATGATGTTTCCTGTTTGTCTACTTAGAACAAGAAATTTAAACAAATTATTGCAAATAACCGTTGTGGAGCCAAATGTTCTGCAAAAGTGAAAACCAGGACTGGGGGAGGTCCCATCCTGACTGATGAGCACCATGACAGGGAGAAACCAGACTTCTGTGAACCCTGTTGTTGATGATGTATCATTTGACAAGTTTCAGTTTCAGGTATCACCAACAAATCCCACTTCAATCCCAGCTTGTCCTCTAATTAAATGCTAACATCCACAGCACAAATATGTATCTGAGCTCATCATCTAGGCTGTCCGTGGAGCCAATGGAAATGGGATAGAATTCCTCTCTAAAACAGGTCACATGAATCACACCCTAGACCTGCTGACTTTTCTACTTTTAACTACAAAAGCAGCCTGGAGCGAGCAGACCTCGTGCAGCGTTATGGAGGCGCACCTCCTGCTACACCTCTACTGCCTGTGGTTAAGGAAGATTAATTCATAGAAGTTTTTCCTGACATTTCAACAGTCTTTTGAATCAAGCTTGCATAAAATAGAGATCACGGGACATGTCCAATGTTTATAAAAAACTAGTGCTACCATAAATAACACTACGCATTTATTATGCCAACAAATAATGGTGGTCTTAATGATGATAGTGAACAGATTGCCTCTAGCCCTAACTAGAAGGCTGTCAAGACATCTTGCTGCAGATTTTTACAAAATTTCTGCTAATCCTGGACAATAATAGCCTATTCCCATTATGCCTATCTTATGTACCTACAAGTGAATCTCTCTTTCTAGAAATACACTAAAGAATTTAGCATAGAAATAGAGCTATGCGCAAGAATTTCCTTACAAAATGTGTAACTTCTCTGTCCTCCCAATTGCATGCATAAAGGGCGTGGTCCCCTTATAGTAATCAACTCTAAGTGATGTTTTGAAACAGCAGGAAAGTAAATTTGATGCTGGGAACCCTAGAAATTGACTGACACCAAGTCTGGGAGAAGATGAGTGGGAAGGGCATTCAAAAGGAAAAAACATGGACTGTAGGAAAAGAGGCATGAGCCCCAAAAACAAGGGGACAGACCCTGGTTGCAGTTGTAGAGTGCTCTCAGTGGATAACAGGGAAGATATAAATTTACAAAGCTCTGAGGTGTCTCCCTGGAGCTTCAAGAAAATCTGCTACTGGCTGGTCTACAATCTATCTGAAGTACTATTCTGTACTTGGCTTCTATAGAAGAGACAACTATAGCAAATCTTTTTGACACTATAAAAATCAAAGCATATTAAAAATAATCATTAGGAAGAATTATAAAATATTTAATTGCAGTTTAGATTGGACAGTAGGAAAAATTTCTTCACTGAAAGGGTTGTCAAGCATTGAAACAGGCTGTCCAGGGAAGTGGTGGAATCACCATCCTTGAAAGTATTTAAAAACATGTATATGTGGTACTTAAATACATGGTTTAGGGGTAGACTTGGCAGTGCTGATTGACGGTTTGACTCCATGATCTTGGAGGTCTTTTCCAGCCTTAATGGTTCTAGGATTCCAATTTAAATAATAAAATTAGCAGGTCACTAAGTGACCAGAAGCTGTGACAAGACTTGGTAACATGTAAGTTAGACATCCCTTGAGTCCTTTGCAAACCCCATGGGATCAGCCATTAGTCTTTCCCTGTAGCACATCCTCAATCTAAAGGCAGCAGCAATCTCTGCCAAAGAAGCCTAGACCTGAAAAGCTGCTTCACCCTGAACCTCAAAACCTTCACTTAGGAAAGATGCCAAACAAACAAGTTTCCTGGTCTCATTGCCCTAAAAACAAAGTCCAGGCTTTGTTATCATTGAAACCTGAAAATCCCTCATGTGCTTTAGCTGAGCTCTTTATTGGTGGATGTATCTGCAACTGCCTGACAGCCATTCAAGCCACACTTAATGGCTATTGTGCATTAAAAGAGGCTTTCATAGAATTCTCTTCAAACCTGACTGGGTTATCTCCCTAAATAATTACAGTTCATTCAGAATTCAGCAAATTGCAGATTTTAGATATTACTTCAAAATAATAGCATGAGAGGGCAGGTAAGCATGAGATATTCACAAAAAAAGGTGGCTCTTTTTAATATGGACAGTTACCCTGTGAAACTTCACAACACTGTTCTCTGCAGGTGCTATGACATGGATGAGGGGGAGACAACACAGATTCATGAAAGAGAAGTACACTGAGAAATGCACTTCCAACACATCAGTACCTCCTCCATCTGTGAGCATAGTTAAAGACTGGGAGTGCATTAGGGATATGTACTCTGCCATCAATATTCTTGCTATCCCTACACATCTGCTTGTGGAGACTATTCCTTCTAGCTTTCCCATATAAAAACACCTCCAAAAGGGAGAAGGGAAAGGAAAATAATCAAAAAAAGAAAGGAAAAACAAAAAAAGGTCAGGGAGGAAAAAAAAAAAAAAAAGGCCAGGCAGGAAAAAGGTAGAAACAGTGAACCAGAGAGGAAAAATTATTGAATCTACTACCCCAGAAGGGTATTCAGAGGGCTGGTGGATGTGCTCTGTGCAAGGAGTGCTCTGCCCACCAGAGTGAGAGGATGTGGGTCCAGAAACAAGTCCCAGCATTGCTGGCATTTCCCAACTGGAGCTTCCTTCTCCTAGAGCTGGCGTGTAGACTCCGCCGAACTGGAGAAGTCCTACAGGTTGGCAAGACTTTGGATGGGTACAGATCAAAAGGTGAGGGTGAAAGTACAGCCTGAGCCTCAAGAAGAGGTTTCCAGTAGAATCAGAAGCATATATGCCAGGATCTGCTGCATGCTGCACCCAAGTCTCTGGCATCCCTGAATCTGCAGTCTCACAAAACCCCAAGCCTTCTGCTAGGCTCCAGAGGCATCCCAGTGCAGTTGCTCTTCTGCTGCATGATGCAAACTTGTGCTGTCTGGGATCTGACAAAATCATGCTCCCATTCTCACCCAAGGGCCACTTGCAGCCAGTGCGGTTCAGTTTCCTTTAAGTGCTTTACATGTGTTTTCTACCCAGAGTAAATCATCCCTGGCACATCACTAGAGTCCAAATGAGAGCAGCAATGAACAGACTCAGACAATGGGCACACCCAAGACATTACTGTGGGAATGATAAAATGCTGTGGAATTCATGAAACATTTTTTAATTATTTCATTGCATAATTGATCGTGCAAGTAACTTCCAACAATAAAAAAGATGTTGCTGGCATCAGCGTCCCACGGGACTTGTAATAAAATCCAGCAGGCTGCCCAAAATAATACACTAAGCTGAAGAAACAGACTCAAAAATGGTTTAAGTCATATTTCCCATTTATCAATGAGGTAAAGGCTGGTCTTAATTTTGGAGGATGCAAGAGGATGCTAACTCAAACAATTCACAAGCAGAATGATGGTCTCCTTAGTGACTTTATCTTTGCCAACACAACAGATGCTGGGAACAAAGGAGGCATATTTACAAACGTAATTTTTGAGAGCAGGGACATAAAATTGTTTGAAATAATAATAAAAAAGCAAAAAAAAAAAAAAAAGCAAAAAAGCAGAGTTTTTTAAAAAGAGCAGATACACCATTTCTGTGAAGTGAAAAAGCCCCACCCCTCACTCTTTTTTATTTGTTCTTTTGGTTTCTTTGTTTTGTTTAACAGAAAATTCCAGTCCATATTTTGCAAGGACTTACCTGTCTCAGGGTCAAGGCGAATCACTCTCCCACCATCATAACAAGCCACCCAGAGTTTGCCTTCTGTGTCAATGCACATCCCATCAGGAATGCTCTCCTCTTTTTCCAGTTTGTATATACTCCTACGGTTGCCTGCAGCATAGAAAAACCACAGAACTGAGTGAGACAGTTGCTAAAATTTTTATCAGTCACAGCCCACCGGAGTTGTTTGTACTATTATGTTCAAAAGCTGTGCTGAGGCTCTGAGTTTTTTTCCCATGAAAGAAATAGATTGTGTCTGCTGCCCTGTTTGTTTCCCGAGACAGTTGTTTCTCAGCATGAAAACCTGTGGATCAGTTTCTATCCATTGAAAGTATAATCCTTCTTTCTGGCGTTCATTTCGAGTGCACCAGTCGTGTTCCCTACTTACAATATTAAATTAATAACTGAATAAATTAATGCTAGACATATTCATAAAATTAATTACTTGTTTTAAAAGCAGTTTGAATAATTTCAAGTATGGGTTGTTCCAGCTGGAGACTTTTCAAACAGTTTGCTGGAACGTGCCAATAATCACTGTTTCAACACAAAACTGACCTTCAGATCTATAAACTGAGAGCTTACATAAACACAGAGTTCGGGGGATAAAGCATCAATTTCAAAGGCATACTATCGACCAAAAAACAAACAACTCTATCTGAACTTTTATCCACTATTATTAAAGAAAATTAAACCCAACTTTCCAACATTGTTTATTTTATGCTCTGACAACTTCAATGCTTCTCATATGCAGCATTATTTTTAATGAGTTTCCTTTTTGCTGCTGGGGATTGTCAGACTTCCCACAGAGAGCGAGCGAGAATGAGTGAGAGAGAGAAGTACCCTATTTCCTAGGAAAAAATTCAGTTGTAAGCCATAGCAGAGAGACATTAGGACAAGGTGCTATATCCAAAATTACTTTAAATTCAGAGTTTTAAAAGTAAACATCAAATTGACTGGGTTCTCTTAAATCAAAATACTGCAGCCCTTGTACTCAAAAACAAATTACTAGTCCAAGTCACCAGAATTCTTCTTTTGCCCAAGCTTGTAGAAGCCTTTAAGGCTTTGTTTTGTTTTAAATTAACAAAGGAAGCTTTGAGTTGCTGCTACCGTTGTCGCCTCGTTCTCTCTACACAATCTTCCTTTAGCAGTTTGTGCTTTAAAAAACAAAATAGGGTGAAGAGTGAAAAAATATCTCGAGAAGCTGGCAGAGGTTTTGTGCAAGACTACAAGCTTGCTGTCACTTTGTCTGTGCTGCCAGTAACAAGAAACACGCAGCCACAGGAAGAGACAGATGAGATACACTTTGTCCTTTTTACTTCAAGATCAGATATGCCTTGTATTTAGTAACAGTAGTACAGATTACTACTCAAACTGCCAATTTAAATGCTTTATAGGATTACCAAACGACCCTGACTAGTTTGAGCCAGGAGCCTACGCAGGCACAGACAGAAGTTAATATGGCTTCTGTTCATGCCCCAAAGCTCTGATGATCTCTGTGTAGAACCAGAGCAGAAACAAACATCACAATCTTTAGGCACAATTATTTTAGACTACAACCATTCATACCAATTTTTCCAGTTTGGAGGTCATAATCAAAGGCATCCACTGAGTAGGACAAGCTGTCAATGTAAAAGAAGGTTCTGTGATCCAGCGACCAGTCCAGTCCATTAGAAATGTCCACCTGGTCAAAGTGTTTCACCACTGAGAGGTCGGGGAGGAGAGTGTACAGAGAGCCCTGGCGTCTCTCTAGCACGGCAGGACGAATCTCCTCTGCCATTGTACCTGTGCAGAGCCAAAGGGAAAAAAGCAGGTTCAGAGCAAATGGATTCTTCTCCAGGTTTGGGGGCAGCCTCTCACTACGATGGTGATCACACTGCCAGCGTAGAAGGGGGGGCTTCTGAAATTTGAGGAAGAAACTGAGTTAAAAGCAAAAGAAAAAGGCAGACCTCCAAATTGCTTGCTTTTAGCAGAAGGTAGCAAAACACCTTCTCTTTCGCTCTTTTGTTGAACATTCCTGCAGCAGAAATGGTGTGCAGCATGATTCCTGCAAAATGTTTTATTCAGTCATTCATATACTAAGACAGGTGTGGCCAGCATTTAACTTACAATAAATCTTAATGCCTTGTAGAGCTGAGAGAGTGGAAAAAAATTACCTCCTCCCTCAGAATGAGTCTTACACTAAAGCCTCTTTTAAAGCAAATCTCATCTTTACACGTTGAAGCTGGCAGCTGAGACAGGCTCTTGAGCGGCTGGGTAAATGCAGGTTAAGGTAGGTCTCGGGACTGAATGACACAGCAGAAGCACAGAATGGTGTTTTAGAAATCAGGAGGGCAGCATCACACCTGAGGCTGGTGGGCACCTCTGGACATCATCTAGGATCACCCCCTGCCCAGAGCAGGGTCAGACACCATAGGTTCCTCCCACCAGTGTTGGGCGTTGAAGATCTCCACAGATGAAGACTCCATACTCTCTCTGGACAACCTGTGCCACTGTCTGGTCATCCTCAGAAAAAGAGTTTTCTTACGTTCATACAGAATTGGCTGAGTTTCAGTTTGTGCCCACTCCTTCCGGTCTTTCAGTGGGCATCACTGAGCAGAGCCTGGCTTCCATCTACTTTACTCCCTCCTCAGTCAGGTATTTATACACACAGGTGGGATCCCCTGAGCCTTTGCATCTCCAGGATGAATAGCCCCTTAGTTTTTAGAAATAATATTCTGAATTACAGAGAACAAACCACACAATATAATAGATTTCTCACTGGAAAAGCACCTCTTCTTGGCACCCTTCCAGTATTCGAAACAAGCAGCTGACAGGAAAGAGTCAAGGCCAGTATCTTAAACTAAGCTGGCTTGGAGTAGTCAGCCTCTTTTTAACAAAATAGTCCAGATTAGATAGTGCCCAGGTGATATAAACAAATTTGTAAATGGATTTAAACTCGGTTTGAAGAAAACAAAAAAAAATCCCCACCATTTAACTATGAAGGAAAACTTGCTGCATCTAGAACTGATCACTGCATCTTATCACCAAAACCCAGCAAGCACCAGAGGGAAGAGAGATTGCAGCATACCTGCAAAATACCTCCCTGCAGGATCCACCTTCCCATCATTGAATCGGGTATTTGCTTTATCCTTGTCCACTTGAGTAATGGTGGTTACCAGCCCCTCTTTCCATTTCAAAGCAGCAAACCTGGTTCCTAGGGTGATGACATAATCCCCAGACTTCCGGAGAGCCACGGAGCTCACAGGAGCATCTGGAAACGGGGTGAAATCGAAAAGTGAGATGTGCTATGAAGAGACATTTGTTTCCTGCCCACTATAGAAATGCCAACTGAACTCAGCAAAACCACAGGCAAGAGAAACAACCTTCTTTCCTACCACCAAAACTGACGTTTAAATACATAGAAACAGATCATGTCACGTGAACTTGAGTATTACCACTGCTACCAGGAGCTATAATAATTTCCAGCACCTGGTTGTGCTAGGTGCTTTATTGAAAAAAATAAGTATAAAAAGGGAGACAGGAACATAGGCTTTTTACAATAGCTTACTGTGTGGGTTCTCTTCTCTCCAATGGAAAAATCAATTGCCACAAGAGCTCTAGAGCAACCGTGTTTATTTAGAACATCTCCTGTGTAAATCAGCCATGAAGTGATGGTGGCAGAGTACCTCTGCACTGGGACAGGTCAGACTAGGCAGGAGAGACACTCCCCCTACTACACTCTGCTGTGCTGCTCAAACAAACCTCCAGCAGCACCAAAAACACACCAAGGAGTGGCAGAGCTTCCCAAGAGCTAAAACAAAACAGAAAACTAGTAAATGCTCCATGATTAGTTTACACTCACTTGAGCTATTACATGTAAAATCTCAGTTACAAGTTATTATAAAGGAATTAGTAAAACAACTCAGTGAGTGCAAAGACAACATTTCTGCAAAAGCCTACAATCAGATGCAATCTAAGGAATAATAACTTTAGGCAGGGCAACCAAGTCTGGCATAGTATTTTTCATAAATGGGACCAATCACTAATTTTATAATTTAAAATTGAAACATTTCTTGTATTTATAGCTTTGCAGGCTTATAATTAGGCAATACTTTCATGAACACTTACAACTACCACCAGCCAGTCCTGGGTGACAAGAGGAACTGCTCGTTTCCAGCTGTTTGCTCATGGCTCAGGATGCCCCTTCCCTTTGGAGCCCTGGCAGCAGTACCACCATGACAGAAACCTGAATGCTATTTGCCCCAGCACTGGAGATGAACACCTGACTGCAAGCTCAGCTCTAGCAGCTGAGGCTGCTGGTGGTCTGGGCTTACTTACACAGGGGTGCCACTCCTTCCCATGCCAGCACAGAGGAGAGCAGAGTCCCCTCAGCCATGTGTGGCACCTGCCACTTGTAGTAATTTTGCTGCTCTTCAGATTGCTAGTAAACACACTAATAAAAGTGTTTTTCTGCCTGTATCAGGGGCTTTCCTAGCAGAGCATGGGATTGCAAGTCTACTTTTGCTCTCCCAGGAAAACACCTGGGGCCATGGCTCAGCAGAGTCCTTCCTCCTGGGCAGCACCCAGGATGTTCCTCCCACCCTGGGGGAAGCAGCCGCCAAGCACAGCTGTCCACTGGAGGTGTTGGACATCCAGGTGCCCCTACAGCCACAAGAACAGCTCCTTCCTGAGAAATCTCCCCAGAGGAAAGGGGTGCATGAGGACACAGCCACCCTACTGTTCACTGCACAAACCCAGTGCAGGAGTGCATCATCCCATGCACTCAGCTCAGTCTGCTGTGACCCCAGAGGGCTTTGTCAATGCAGCATCTGCAGGAACTGATTGATCTGCAGCACCATCTTGCACCCAAGAGAAAACTGACCATTATGTCTCCTCTCCAGGCCTAGTTATGCAGCTATGGCGTTCCCCCTGTAAAGTTATAAAGGGCATTTGATGTTGTTTCTAAGCATGGGGTTATGAAATTCTCTTATTAAGAGCTTTAATAGTGAATAATTTATCTTAGTTTCCACTTTGGAAACCCGCTACTGTAATCTCATGGCATTCTTTGGTTGTTTGGGGGTTGTTTTGGTTTTTTTTCTTTTAATCACGGTATTCCCAAAGACACAGCTATTAATCATAAGTATTTTACTATTAAAGAGAGGAAACAATTTTAAAAGAAAGAAAAACAGGAGCTACTTCAGCTGCTCTTCCTTCCACATCTCCAGAGAGGCCACAAGTAAAAGACTACACTTTTGACACTAGACCAATCTGGGAGAAAGGCAGGGAGAAGCACACTTCCTCAGCTAAGCTAAGAGGAAGTAAGTTTGGGAAGCAACACTTCCAAAAATCACTATCAGGCCTTCTCTCATTTTGAAATTGGCAACTACAGCAATTTGAAAGGCAGATAAGCCCAGATCAGTTTCTAGTGAATAATGCAAACAGTTTATAGGTAGGCAAAATTGATTTTCACCAAGAGTTACTGAACATGAGAAAATAATAAATTGTACTGAAATCACTTAAGGAGCTGCTTCCCAACACAAATATTTACTCTAACACATCCAGCAGTAAACCTGCAATCCTTTCTTAATGTGAGTTATCACATCTCTTCCTTTCTGGAAAAAATACTTGAACCACTGAGACTCTAGCTGGTGACACCAGTACCTTAAAAAAGTATCAACTTCTTAAAGCATTATTAGAAATCTCCTTTCAATATAGAAAACGTTATGAGCATTGATCATTCACATCAGAACTGCTACAGACACCAACAGAAGAACTTTACCCCTGGGACAAAGTACGAATAAAAGAGAGTGTGCTGAGGACAACTTAAAGGGAAAAGAAATAGATCAAACATAACCCAGTACTAAAAAGTTTTAAGTCCCCAGGACTAGGTCTAGTCTGTATCTAGTGTCTCCCGGTGTGCTGGCTATCGAGGAAACCCAGGCTGCAGGGAAAGGTCTGCAGATCCGAGCACCGTGCAGCTGCCGAGGGGCCCAGCGAGTGCCAGCACGCAGCTCCCGCACACAGAGGCGCTTTCCAGCAGCTCCTTACCCACGGCAATGGCCTGTGCCTGCCGGGTGACCGGGCTCCAGCGGCACACCTTCCTGCCCGTGATGTCCACGAACAGCAGCGCGCCCTCCTTCTCGTCCCACACGGGCGACTCGCCGATCCTGCAGCCCTCCCTGGCCACGCACTCGATGCTGACAGATGACATGGCCTGCGGAGGGAATCGGCACCGCGGGTCACACCCTGCCCCGCCGGGGCCTGCGCGGAGGCAGCACCGAAAGGGAACGGGGAGGAAAAAAAAAAAAACAAGGATGGGGGAATAATAAAAGAGAGGGGGGAAATTAAATGGGGGTGCAGGCGGGCGCAGGGAGGCAAAGGCCGCTCCGCCGCAGGCCCGCCCCCGCATGCCCGGCTGCTGGGGCGCAGCGCGTGTGCCGCCGTGTCGCGCACACACGGGAGGCGTGTGCCTGCACCTACCTGCCTGCCTGTGGACACGGGAGGGAAGAGCAGCAATAATAAATGTCAGTAACTAATAATAACAACGAAGCGCGCCGCCCAGCACGCCCGGGCCGTACCTGTCCCCAGCGCCCCTACGGCCGCTCTTATAGCGGGCTCGGCGAGGGCAGCGGCCGCGCCTTGGGTCCCCGGGCAGGGCGGGCCCGCCGGGCCTGCGGATCCTCCTCTGCCCGCGGGGCCAGCGCCGGGAGAGCGGGGCGGCGGCCCGGGCAGCAGCGGCCCGGCACCCCCTTCCAAGAGCTGCAGGGAGGGAATAGAGGGAGAAGAGCTTGCTTTCCCACCACGGTGGCCGAGTTTCTCAGCCCCCGGAGAGGCCGATTCCCCGAATGCCTGGAGTAGGTGACCACAGAGACTTAGCCCTGACTTCCAACACCAGGGATCCTTCACAGCTCCTGCAGCAGCACCTTGGTCATCCAGCTATCCCAGGCCTTTAGCGTGCCCTCTCCTCTTTTACTCCCCATTCTGTTTAGTCTCAAAAGCTTCCAAAGGCACAAAGCAAACAGCTGGCAACAAAATTTGCAGATACAGTTGTCTGTTGTGCCTCCTTGTCTCTGAGGCGCTACAGCTCCCAGGCCTCAAGTCTCAAAGCAGTGGGTACTTTTTTTATCCCAGGTCTCCTCTTCGGCATCCCATGACATACTGCCTTTTGAATTGGAGTTGGTGATCCCCAGTGACATCAAGTGGCTTCAGTCCCTCTGCTCCATGCCTTGTGTGTCTCCACCTGGGAACTCAGGCACGGCTGGTTTGCTGCTGTGTTCCCACAAACCAGAATTAACTCAGCTGCTCCAAAGCTTACCTCTTCCCCATCCAGACTCTGGTTTCCCACTGGCTAATGTAGCAGCCCCATTATTCAAGGGGCACTGCACACCAGTGATCACATAGCATCCAGCAGGGGCTTTTAGGAGCTCCTCCTGGAGATTTTATCTGTTCCTTATCATACACCCTCCTGTTGGCAATTATCTCCAGTTTAATATTATTATTTGGTGGCCTTTATTCATAAAGCAGGTGGTCACAGCCCTGGCTTCTCTTGGTGTTTCATGTAGGCTTCTTCTGACGGAGTTCTGATGTGATATTCATTAACTTATGGTCACTTTATCTGAGCAGTTAAACTTCTGTTTTATAGGATTCCATGGTATTCCTTCAGTGCTTCTGTCTTACTGCTACATGTACAACAAATAGCAGGATTTCATCTCAGACCTGAGGCAAACAAATTATCAGCAACACAGATTCAGAAAAGAAGTGCTACATCTATCCTTTTTCCATACACTTCACAACATGGAAAGAAGATGCAGAAATAAAAATTTAAAAAAAAATGCAAAGAACCAAAGAGTTCATTAAGTACAATGAAGAACAATTATTGCTTCTTACAAAGCTTAGCCACATCTACTGCTCTCCCATTCTTTTTGCACACAAGGCCTTTGGGTTACAATGCAAGAGCTTACTGAATCCAGCAGCAACAGGAGATACACCCTCAACCCACCTCAGCAGTCTCTGTTCCTTGCTGACTTAAGCATTTGCCAGCATGGTTTGGAGGCATCAAAACAAGCTGTGTGCTGGCACACACCTTAGGAGCAAATTAACAGCTTCTGTAAGACTGGGTTACAACACAAACTCTGTGCCATGTATTTGAAGCTTGGATCTCTAGTTACAAGGGACAGCACCCCTGCTTTGTCTTCTCTGTAATGGCTAATCCAAGCTTGTTGAAAGGTAGAGCAGGGTGGAATCCATTGTGGGGTGCCTTCACAGAGAGCATGAGATGAAGTCTTCTGCCAGTACAAGTTCTCTGTGGGAGAGAAGAGCAGAGAAGAGGTGGCTGCCAAAGATTGTATTGCCTTGTGCCTACCCACTGGGAATTTCCCACTGTTGCACTGCAGCCACAGAGTCTACTGTGTGGCCAAATCTGACTGATAGGGAGCTAACAGCACCTCTGTGGTTTCCACAGGACATGCTGGTAGCTTAGCATTTATTCCACATGGCAGGAGGGAGCAGGGAAGTGGAATTCTTACTTATCTACAACCACAAAGAACACAAAGAGGGATCTGTGATCTGGGATGCCTTGTAGGGTGAAGTTACAGCCCTCCCCCAGCCTGCAGGTTCCCTCAGCCTGTCAGAAGCCACTACCCTTCTTGCCAGTCAGGAAACGCCCAGCAGCTCTGGAGAACAGCCCAGAGCACCATAGAGCTGGAAAAATCCCCCCACCCTCAATGACAGTAGGCAAGAAGAGATGCTGGACTATTTCAGGTGCTATTGAGACTGGATTTTACTAATGTTCATTCCTGGAAAGTTGTAGTTGTTCTTGTCTTCTTGTATGAGCTTGATCCTGCTGTTTCTTCATCTTTAGAGCAATCCTTGTCTTTTTTCCTTCCTTACTACTGTGAGTCCTCCTTCCTTCTTGAAGGTGGGAGAGCTCTAGGCCTTATCCATGGTGGATGTGCAAATGCTGTATATCAGCTGTCTGTATCCCAAGAGCTGCCTCCGAAGCAGATGGGCAAGGTACAGCTGAGAGCGAGGACTGTGCCAAGGGTTTTGGAACCCAAAGAGATACTACCTCACTGCAAGCATGTTAAATCCATAAGGGCAACTAGAGTGGGCATGTGGCAATTCTCCACTAGCAGACAATATTGTATTTGGGGGTACACAGATGGGAGGGACAAACAAAAAACACTGAGCAAGAGCAGAGGTAGAAACATGAAATCAGTCACTGCCATCAGTTCACCGGAAAGAAAGAGTTGGCACTGCCATGCACTTTTTGCAGCCAAGTATAGTTCTTGGAATTGGCTCGTGTATCCAGATCAAATTTTATTTTTTAGCAAGCAACAAGTAACTCCAAGAGAGATCAAACTGCCGAAAAGTTTCAATTGTTTACCAGTCTGGATGGTTACAGTTTCGTATTTAAACATAGTAAAACATTTGCCAAAGTATTCCCTTTTCCTGTTTGCAAAATGTCTGCTTGGGAGAAGGTGGCACCAGCAGATTTGTGCCCATTGACTAATTTGTCTAACACCACTGTCACACAAGTTAATGCAGAATGGATTAAGAATCTCAGACAGGGAATCTTTTCTACAAAGGATTGCACCAGATCATCATGAAGTAATATTGAAATATTTAGCCTTTAAAAACCAGTTTTCACAAAAATTACAATCTTACCCTTTACTTACTCAGTTTATTACACAGTTTTCTTTCAGCACAATTCCTTCTGTACAGGCCACAGGCTCATGAAAAAACATCTCTCACTTAAGAATACAATGCTTAAATGTGTGACCCTTCCCACTGCAGCCAGTCTCCCAGTGCTTCATGAACACCCTCACACTGTCACACATACACGTCCAACTTCCTTGTAATGGGAGCACCAATAATTTCAGGTTTCTGCTGCCTGAAGCTGCCTCACAAATCTTGAGTTCCCAGCCTGTGCCTCTCCAGACATCCGCTCTGTACTGGGAGCAGCTGGGCAACAGGGTGCTTCAGAAAGCATTAAGTGGAGCACAGCCAAGACATTTTTCATTAATGCCTTACTTTTCTGGTCTTTGTACCCCATGTGACCTGGATTTGCATTTTGCTTGCCTCAGGATAAAAAAAAGAGCATTGATATGTGCTACAGCAGCTGCAAAATTATAGTCACAACAGAGGTCATGCAACAGAGACTTCAGGCAAAGGCAGCATCTTGCATTCAAATAACTGATCCAGCAACAGTGCTTTCAGTGTTTGCAGCTTACAGGCATCCAAATCCTTCTTCTGGCCAAATCAAAATTAAATTTTAAATTAACTGCAGATTTAGGGTGACTTCACAGAGCTTTAATTTAAGATGTTCAACCAGACAATTTGAGGAGTTTGGTTTATGTACCAGCCATTTGTAATGAGTGTAAACTACAACTTACTAGTATCTGCATCGCCTCACTCATTCAGCTTTTCAGTCTCTGTGCTTCCTTTAACCAGGAGAGATGTCTGGCTTGTTGCATAATGATTAATCAGGAAAAGGATGAAACAATGCCCTACTTCATTTTAGAGGGGACAACAGAACAATAGCTGAGCCAGCTTTAAGGAGGGGAAGCGCTTTGGTCAGGTTCCATTCAACCAGATGCAAATGGAACCTAAAATGCCAGTGACAGGGGTTCCCAAACAACTCAGCACTACCCTTCTGAGATAAGGAACTACAAAGGAAAGCAAGCAGACACTGCAATTTCAGGTGAAGTGGGTGGGCTAGTTCAGAGGTGGTTTTCCCCTTCAGATGACTCATTCCCTCACCAGGGCCTGTGCTTCCCCCAAGGTATAACCAGAGGCATTTTCCTATACGGCATATAACACCTTTTCTTCTTATAGGTACTACTCTTGAAGACGGTCATAAGCTCAAGAGGTCTCAGATGACCAGGAGATTCCATGATGGCCCTTTCTTTTCATGTTGCTGTTAAGTTTTAAATTCTTCCTCAGGACACTGCCCCACCAACTTCATGAGCAGAACAACTCTGGAACTGCTATGGAACTGTCAAAATACAGTTTGTGTCCTGTCCCCAGTGCTCTTTCCTCCAGATATGGTGGGTGGGGCAGCACCTAAGGAGGAACAACAGAAACCAGAAAAAAATATCTTCAGAATGTTTAAGCCAAAAGAAACCATGAAGGTGTCATTATGGAACCTACCCAGAGATCTAAAACAATGTATATCAGATAAAGCAGCCAAGGTGAGGCAGATACCCAGCTCCAAGTCTGCTGAAAAAGAAGTGGAAGGCAGGAAGGGTCTGCATAACCTGAAACAAAAGAAGAATCCCAGGGAAAGAGCAGGGCAAGGTGGATCCAAGAGGTTGTCCCAGACAAAAAAGCCTACTGAAAAAATAAATATTATCTGGAATCTGCATACACAGAGGGAGGGAAATTAATGAGCAAACATGCGGGGCTGCTTCTCCTACAACCACGTGGTCACACAAATTTATCCAAGCTCTCTGCAGAGAGGTGAACTCGAGGAACAGAAATAGTCATGCACATCCGCTATTTTCAAACAACTTACCCAACTGCTATGTACCATTTCCTTTCGGAAGTCTGTGCTTGCAGTCACTTTAATCCACCTGTTGTATCCCACCAGATGCACTCACTTGGTTAGGAGCACAGCCTGACAGCAGTTATCCCAGAATCATCTCTGCAAGAGGGACATGCCGCGGAGTTTCA